ACATTAGGAGCCCAAACGGAAGCCGAGACCCTGGAAAATTCAGGAATATCTACTCAGCACATATCCCCCTTCTTCTTTCGATCGTGGTCCCTCCAGCCACTCCTTCGCGTCGGTCATCCCAATACACTGGGTACTTTAAAACTACTTAAGAGTTAGGAACAATAATAATAAAATTTTTACGTTGACGAGAAGACATTTCATCCCAACGCCAATGAGGTGTCTCGCCGATAAAGTAGAGTTAGAGTCGAGACTTCTTTGTAAACTACATTGGAAGATGGGCGATAACTAGTTCCAAATATATTTAAAGAAATATTCAGCATCTATCCTTTCTCCTCAACCTATTCTCAGTTCAGTGCTTCTGGGTCAACGATTCAACCGTTGGAGACGTAGGGAAGCTGTCACTCGTTCACGTAAACACCACAAACTGTTTTATTTGGAAGTGTTCCAGTTGCTCAAGTGGGAGATCACCTCACTCGTTGGTTGCTTTCTTGAGGGCACGGGATTTGAGGGTTCGCCAGAAGTAGATATGGCTTCTATAACGCTTCTGTAGATTAAGCCATTACCACGAAAAGCTCCCCGTCTGGTCTGCCACGGTTTGGCAATTACCCCGGAGAATTCAGAATGGTTGTCAATTTGGATTGCGTTTGTTCCGTATGAAAAGTAACTCTGATCCAGGAGAAAAACTAAATTGATTCACATTATCGAATGAGAAACCTCAGTGGGGCGGAAGAAGTGCATATGCTGCGGATGGGAGGATCTGTGACGATCCCTAGAGGAAGTTTCCTAGACGACCTTTGCCTTCAACAGCTACCTCAGTTCCGTGTTCTGCAGGAATGTTGTTACCAGCTGAAACGACACTAGTGGTGGACCATCCGAAAAATCTTTTACGGATTTGTCTACGGTACCTGTTTGAAGATGCCAATTAAGTGTGCAGGAGATACCTCTCTACCTCTCCACTAGGTCAGTAAAACGCAGGTAGATATGTGGTTGGGTAGCAATGAAGTGAGAACAAATTGGTAAGGAACAGACGCAGAACTTTATCCCGACGGAACTATGCTAAATTCCGTCCTTTGTTAAACGAATCTGCTTTAAGGTCAGTGTTCCTACGACTAGCACTGAACACGCCAGCACATTCCTCCATCTACCAAGACAGCTCTCAAACAGAACAGAACTTCAAATCCGGCAGGAATTGCCAAGAGGGATCAGCGATGTTGCAGCCAGGTATCTCTTCAGTTGCGTGGGACTTCGAGGACTGGCGCAGTTGGCTAGTGAGTGGCTCTCTTATATCACTAATTACATTGTTCTGGCTGACACAGGAGGCTAATCAAGAGGAGCACCGGAGGTAGCACTCAAGAGAGGAGCTATGTAGTACTCAGTTTAACTCTCGGTTTTGGTAACAGGGCCGCTAAGGGTCTCCGTCAAAATATCTTCGCCGAGCAACTGGGCCTAAGGCTGGTGCCAGTAGACTTAATCCCTTCTGCATGTCAAAAGTACATGTTCTGGCCCAGCATAATGTCTTCTTTCACCTTTGAGGGAGTCTGAGAGCGCTACAGTTTATGTACGTGCATTATGAAGCGCTCATGATTCCACATATTTGCGTCTGCCGGCTCCAAAATTAGCAGGACTTCTCACACATACGCATACTTAGCCCCTAAAAAGGTGCAGCATGTGTGTGCAGAAGGTGACTTCCAAGGAATGCTTTGTTTGTACCGCTGGATTGTGGTAATAGGCCACTCGGGGGCAGTTGCATCACGCTCTGAAACAGCCTCTACTACTGATCATAAACAACCACTCCTACCTTTCGATAGAAGGGAATGGAGACCAAGGTGTGCGCAACTTTA